CAGGATCTGTTCCCTTGGCAGCTTTGGCATACTTTTAATTACTTTTTAACAATACCTTCTTGTACATTTTTTTTTTTTACCCATATGTACTTTTATCTGTGCCAGTTTTAGTTTTTATAACCTGCTTTCGAGTCCCAGTTCTGGGAAAAGGGTGGGAGAAACTGGTTTCAAACTGTCTTGTTTTAACTTGTCAAACAATTTGAACATGCTTTTCGTCTATGACATTTACATTATTCTAAGTGTTTTGAACAGTTTACATTGATATTGTTGTACAACCCTGAGGTTCCTGGATGTAAGGAAAGATTAAAAATATTTTAATGAATACAATTATTGGGTAGTAGCAGTAATAACAATAATAAAAGTGTTTTAGTAGCAGTAGTACTAATACTAAAAATGTTGGCCAAGACCCTGCATCTGGAGACATGTACCGACAATAATGGAGCTCCGTCTTCTGATGCTAACCCTAAAAACCTACCTTTCCAACAATGCAGCCCTACTAATAGAATAATTTATTAGATGATGGAGAGCAGGGAAATGGATTTCTGCTCCTTTATGGACAAAAGTGTGAGATAGTACAAGGCACACTCTCCAGCCTTCTGTAGTATTTGGGAACATCTCTGCTCATTGCAATGCTGCAACCACCATCAATGTGAATTTCAAAATTTACGATGTTATAAGCCTGGCTTATGAGATCTTAAATACTGAATAGGATGAACAACTAAGGCCTTCTTCCCAGAAAATCTGGAGCCCTCCAGAGCGATGCTAGGTGGCGGATTACAAACTCTGGACTGTTCTCAGAATACATATTCTGGCCCATGCAAACATGGCCAAATACTTCTAACAACGAAACCAGTGATTCCCAAACTTTGTTCCTCCAGGCGTTTTGGACTTCAAATCCCAGATGCCCCAGCCACCTTGGCTAATGGTCAGGAATTCTGGGAGCCAAAGTCCAAAATACTTTGGGAATCGCTGAACTGAACAGATTAAATATATAAATAAGCTCAGAGAGTATAAAACCATGGTCAAAGAACTGTCGTTGACTTACCACATTGAATGCCCGAGGTATTCATCATAATAGTATAGCAATTCAAAGGAATCAATCTGGAAAGGAATATAAAGAGAGTCAAGGAGAGAGCAGGGAGTCCGGTCAGCCTCCATGTCAGTGGGGCGCTGAGTCCATTCCAGATTTTGGAATTCCAGATTAAAGGAGCATCAGCACATTGGAGAGCTCCTGGGTTCAAAGGTGGAGTAGATCCCCCTCCATCCCAGAGGGACCTTACCAGGGTCTCTGGCTTGAGGTTTTTGATGATGGGGTTCTCTCGGACGGAGAGGTGGAGCTGGTAGCCGCTGAAGATCAGCCGGTGGTTGACGGAGTCGCCCACCAAGTGGATGCTGGCGCCCATGACAAAGGTGATGATGCAAAGGTAGACCATGGACCGGGGAAGCGTCTTGGGGGATCGCTCAATCAACTGTCATGGAGGAAGAGAAAGAGGCGGAACGGGGCTCAGAGGGGATGGAAGGAGTCCTCCTCCCACAATTCCTCCATGAGGATGGAGAGGGTTTTATTTTTTAAAAATAAAAATAAATTATTGATTGTGTATTCCTGCATGGCAGAGGACTGGACTGGACTGGACTGGACTGTCCTTGTGGTCTCTCCTGACTCAGTGATTCTATGAAACAGATCATATAACAGGAGTTATATCTTAAATAAAAGAATATATAATAATTATAATAATACTTTATTTTTATATCCTGCCTTTTGCTGTGGCAATCAAGGCGGTTTACATATAAAATTAAATTTAAATAAAACATGCCCAAAATAAACAATACTAAAACAATACTAATAAATAACACTTAACCCCCTTTTAAAATATATATAAAATACAAAATACAAAAGTAAAAGCACTGGATTAAAACATTCTTGGACACACACTGCAGAAATGATCCAGTTTGGCACCACTTTAGCTGTTGTGGCTCCATGCTACAGAATTCTGGGAACTTGCTGATAGGGAGCTTGCTTGCTGATAGAGAAAGCTAAATGCCTCACAAAAGTACCATTCCCAGAATTCCATAGCATAAAGTGGTATCAAACTGGATCATTTCTACAGTGCTGGTGCAGCTATAGAATCTTTACATTAGTAATGTTCTAAAAAACTATCATAGCAAAGGAATGTCTCAATATACCCTGTTTTTTTTTTTCATATGGGGATAGAAAGTCCACTACTCCACAATCTTGTGAGGGATTTGCAATTTGGTATGAGACCTGCCATGCCTTCTTTGGGTACCTTGGCAAAAGTACTTCAGGGGAGTGGACTATGGCTCTCTATCAGAGAAATCCAAGTACTTAATGACATCACAAATCCCATCATTCCTTAGGGAGGAAGCATGGAAGAACTGATGCACCTGCGTCATGCGGTTGCACAGGGACTTGTCCTTGCAAATGCATGTCCCGCACTCAGACCCACTCCTGCTGTCTGGCCTTTCAGGAGACAAACCAACTCCTGAGCAAAATGGAAAACACCCAAGATGTTTTGATTTAAAGGGAAGAACAAGGGAGTGGGGGAAGTGTATGGCAAAACATTTACCTTCAGAAGAATAAAGGGTGTGATCACATTGTACGCCATGTGGAAATAATCTCCAGCGCTCGGCTTATTCAACGGAAACCATTCCAGGGGAAGCACGATCTGAAGGAAAGATGAGAACCAAAAGAGGAAGACGGATGCGTTCCATCATCCACATCCCAGTTCAAGTGGTGCCAAACTGCATCAATTCTGCAGTGCAGATGCAGCCTCACAGTCAGAATTTATTTTTAAATGACCAGATTTCTCATTAGGTCTTTCGGCATGAAAAGGCGAAGGAAAACGCCTTTTGCCCCCAACCCTAGAAAAAGATGCTTCTGCAGGACTCACCATGGCGATGGGGCGGCCAAAGTCCAGCACCCAATTCTGCAGCGTGAAATAAAACCACAGGTCAAAATGGAAGCGGGGATGCTTGCAGGGGTCCTCCTCTGGGCCTGCCCCATGCCTGCGGACGAAAAGACAAGAGGAATCTGGGTTAACCAAAGCGTCGTCACTCCAGGTGCTTCTGCACTGCAGAAATAATGCGGTTTGGCACCACTTTAACTGCCGTGGCTCCATCCGACAGAACGCTGGGATTTGTAGCTTGGTGAGGCACCAGCACTCTTTGGCAGGGAATGCTAAAGAACTTGCAAAACTACAAACCCAAGCATTCTATAGGGTAATCATAATAATCATAATAA